GGTGTATAAATTGGCACTTCTCTTCCCGAAAAGGGGGGCCTGAGCATATGAGAGCTAGGTATAGATTTGAGTTGAATCATTTCTCTCTGTAAACACTGTATTTCTTCATCTTTATATGTCTTATAGGTAAAATCATAAAAATAGTCAGAGATCAATAAAATAACAGTGAATGTAGGATTTACTTTAAGCATCCGAACCACTATAAAAACCCCTCTTGTCAGTCTATTATTTATGTTTTCTGCAACATATATAATCTCAGCTCCATATTCAAATCTCATGGATCTATTACGTATAATTTATAAAATTCTCTTAACACTTTATACATACAAATTATTGATATCCAAAATCAAACATCAACATAAACCAACGTTTGAAAATAACTTGTCAAATGACAAAGGCAGGCTTCGCAACAACCCAACTACCTCTCCATTTGCATTTCATATTGTTGTTCAATTTCGTTGGAACGACGAGGACTGCATCAATTCACTTTAGAAAAATACTTGTTATTAATTTTGAAAGTGATTTTTAAAAGGGAAATGATTTTTAGCCGGCCCCACCAATTTGATCATAGTCTCTTTTATTTTAAAGAAATGCTAATCTTACAAGATTGTTATAAAAATATTTATGCAAAGTGACTGACATGGCAAGCTACATCACTTGCCACATCATTACTTTTCACATCAGTATTTTATTAAATGTTTAATAATTATTAATTATATTAATTAAAATACTTCAGTTAACCTAAGTTAGAAAAAAAAAAAAAAATGATTATATTGAATCAAAAATCCTTTCTCATCCTTAGTCTTCTTCCTCTTTCCTTCTTCTCTTCTCATCCTCTTCCTTTTTTATTTGTTTTTTTCCCAATATCAACCGCACCACTGCCGTTTATCCTCTTTCACCACCACTCGCAACCGCATTGCCACTATTTATAAGGCGTTGCCACTATTTTAGACATCAACGACTTGCATGTACAAAGTGTTAAGATAGTCTTAGAAATTACACGTGATATATCCATGAGATTTGAATATGGAGCTGAGATTATATATGTTGCAGAAAACATAAATACTAGACTGACAAGAGAGGTTTTTATAGTGGTTCCGATGCTTAAAGTAAATTCTATATTCACTGTTATTTTATTGATCTCTGACTATTTCTATGATTTTGCCTATAAGACATACAACAATGAAGAAATACAGTGTTTATAGAGAGAAATGATTGAACTCAAATCTATGTCTAGCTCTCATATGCCGAGACCTCCCTTTTCGGGAAGAGAAGTGTCAATTTATACACTTTTGAGGTCAATGTAATGAGTGTTTTGCAAGTTGTCTTGACATATGAAAGACTCTCGTCCATTCATCTCTTGAAATGAGATAAGGTTGGTATGAATATTTTTTAAGAGATATGAGCTTGACAACTAGTACAAAAATACATTTATTGAGCTGACATCAGCGTGATTTTTTAAGCATAACATGATATAAGTCAAAATGTCATCTACCAAAAGAAAGATTTAATTCAATTGAAGGTAATATATATGGGAGGTAATCATCATTAATAAATTGAAGTAGGAAACAAAAATAGTTAATATTTGCTAAGTACACCGACCCTTTAACCAAGTACTATTTGTCAATATGTTTTATTACATATTTACCCTTTAAGTAAGGATAACTGAACTGATCAAATAAGTGGGTTCAAAATCACTACTCATTTAAAATTATTGTTCCCGTTGAACTAAAGACGGGGTGGTTAGTAAATTTGGTGTGGGTGCTTAGGACAAACCTATTCCATTATCCTTATGGGTGAAGAAGACATTGTTAGTTGTTGGGAAGCCATAACTATAAGGCCCAATACTGTAGAAACTAAAAATTTCATAGAAGAAACGTCAAATTTCACTTCATAGGAATAACACTTTCCAATTTCCATAATGACGAGATAATTTGCACGTTTAATTCCAGCCGGGTTGACTCAGAGATTCGAGTTATTGTCACTCATACTCGCACAGTTGAGTAATTTTGCTATGCATCCGCTCACTCCAAGCAAAATCTCAAAATTTGGACAAACAGAGAGAAGAGATTAATCAACGTATCCAGAAGCTAGAAGCTGAATGGAAGCAAGCAACCAAACGAAGCACCAACACAATCCAACCAAACCAATACGTTGCATCGTCAAACTCGGTCTGTTTGTCTCCGTCTTCTTTACACACTTTAATTTCTATTTATAATTTTATATTTTGTTTCTTTTTTAATGAGTAAATGTTATTCAATTCATACAATAGGAGGAGCAGCAATCACTTGCAAAAATGAATTCATGTGCGAGTCGTTGATGTCCAAAACAAGCGTCAACAGTTTGGTGGCCCATGTAGGTCTCAAACATGCTCAAAGTTCTCCGATCGTGTGGCCAGATCATTGATCGCACGCTCAGATCACTGATCTTCAGCTTTAGATCGCTAATTTTTAGCTTCAAATCGTGCGTTCAAGATTGTTGAAATCACGCGTTCAGATCACCCCAGATCGTATCGCATGCTCAGATTGTTCTGATCCTCGGCTTTTGATCGCTAATCTTTACTTCAAATCGCGTGGCCAGATCGTTGATCTCTTGATCTCAAGTCGAGCTCGTTATGCCCTCAGGTCGAGCTCGTTATGCTCCAGGTCGAGCTCGTTTGCTCTCAGGTCGAGCTATTATGCTCTCAGTAGAGCTCGTTATGCTCCCAGGTCGATCTCTCAGATTGAGCTCGTTATGCTCTCAGGTCAAGCTCCTATCAAATCGTGATCAATTTCTAGCTCCCAGATCGCGATCAGCTCCTAGCTCTCAACACTCGATCGTGGCCAGGAATAGTTCGACAGTTCAAGAATGCTAGCCTTCAGATCAAAGACCTTAGTTTCTGAAGCGCGATTCGCACGTCTCCTAAAAAGTCACGCTTATGTCAGCTCAATAAATGTCTTTTTGTACTAGCTGCCAAGCTCATACCTCTTCAAAGATATTCATACCAACCTTATCTCATTTCAAGAGATGAATGGACGAGAGTCTTCCATGTCTCAAGACAACTTGCAAAACACTTATTACATTGACCTCAAAGGTGTATAAATTGGCACTTCTCTTCCCGAAAAGGGGGGCCTGAGCATATGAGAGCTAGGTATAGATTTGAGTTGAATCATTTCTCTCTGTAAACACTGTATTTCTTCATCTTTATATGTCTTATAGGTAAAATCATAAAAATAGTCAGAGATCAATAAAATAACAGTGAATGTAGGATTTACTTTAAGCATCCGAACCACTATAAAAACCCCTCTTGTCAGTCTATTATTTATGTTTTCTGCAACATATATAATCTCAGCTCCATATTCAAATCTCATGGATCTATTACGTATAATTTATAAAATTCTCTTAACACTTTATACATACAAATTATTGATATCCAAAATCAAACATCAACATAAACCAACGTTTGAAAATAACTTGTCAAATGACAAAGGCAGGCTTCGCAACAACCCAACTACCTCTCCATTTGCATTTCATATTGTTGTTCAATTTCGTTGGAACGACGAGGACTGCATCAATTCACTTTAGAAAAATACTTGTTATTAATTTTGAAAGTGATTTTTAAAAGGGAAATGATTTTTAGCCGGCCCCACCAATTTGATCATAGTCTCTTTTATTTTAAAGAAATGCTAATCTTACAAGATTGTTATAAAAATATTTATGCAAAGTGACTGACATGGCAAGCTACATCACTTGCCACATCATTACTTTTCACATCAGTATTTTATTAAATGTTTAATAATTATTAATTATATTAATTAAAATACTTCAGTTAACCTAAGTTAGAAAAAAAAAAAAAAATGATTATATTGAATCAAAAATCCTTTCTCATCCTTAGTCTTCTTCCTCTTTCCTTCTTCTCTTCTCATCCTCTTCCTTTTTTATTTGTTTTTTTCCCAATATCAACCGCACCACTGCCGTTTATCCTCTTTCACCACCACTCGCAACCGCATTGCCACTATTTATAAGGCGTTGCCACTATTTTAGACATCAACGACTTGCATGTACAAAGTGTTAAGATAGTCTTAGAAATTACACGTGATATATCCATGAGATTTGAATATGGAGCTGAGATTATATATGTTGCAGAAAACATAAATACTAGACTGACAAGAGAGGTTTTTATAGTGGTTCCGATGCTTAAAGTAAATTCTATATTCACTGTTATTTTATTGATCTCTGACTATTTCTATGATTTTGCCTATAAGACATACAACAATGAAGAAATACAGTGTTTATAGAGAGAAATGATTGAACTCAAATCTATGTCTAGCTCTCATATGCCGAGACCTCCCTTTTCGGGAAGAGAAGTGTCAATTTATACACTTTTGAGGTCAATGTAATGAGTGTTTTGCAAGTTGTCTTGACATATGAAAGACTCTCGTCCATTCATCTCTTGAAATGAGATAAGGTTGGTATGAATATTTTTTAAGAGATATGAGCTTGACAACTAGTACAAAAATACATTTATTGAGCTGACATCAGCGTGATTTTTTAAGCATAACATGATATAAGTCAAAATGTCATCTACCAAAAGAAAGATTTAATTCAATTGAAGGTAATATATATGGGAGGTAATCATCATTAATAAATTGAAGTAGGAAACAAAAATAGTTAATATTTGCTAAGTACACCGACCCTTTAACCAAGTACTATTTGTCAATATGTTTTATTACATATTTACCCTTTAAGTAAGGATAACTGAACTGATCAAATAAGTGGGTTCAAAATCACTACTCATTTAAAATTATTGTTCCCGTTGAACTAAAGACGGGGTGGTTAGTAAATTTGGTGTGGGTGCTTAGGACAAACCTATTCCATTATCCTTATGGGTGAAGAAGACATTGTTAGTTGTTGGGAAGCCATAACTATAAGGCCCAATACTGTAGAAACTAAAAATTTCATAGAAGAAACGTCAAATTTCACTTCATAGGAATAACACTTTCCAATTTCCATAATGACGAGATAATTTGCACGTTTAATTCCAGCCGGGTTGACTCAGAGATTCGAGTTATTGTCACTCATACTCGCACAGTTGAGTAATTTTGCTATGCATCCGCTCACTCCAAGCAAAATCTCAAAATTTGGACAAACAGAGAGAAGAGATTAATCAACGTATCCAGAAGCTAGAAGCTGAATGGAAGCAAGCAACCAAACGAAGCACCAACACAATCCAACCAAACCAATACGTTGCATCGTCAAACTCGGTCTGTTTGTCTCCGTCTTCTTTACACACTTTAATTTCTATTTATAATTTTATATTTTGTTTCTTTTTTAATGAGTAAATGTTATTCAATTCATACAATAGGAGGAGCAGCAATCACTTGCAAAAATGAATTAGAGCAAATTAATGGACAGAATCTTGAGGTAGTTTGTTCACAGTTGAGGCAATCTATGATCCCTTCTGGAAAGGTTGTTGGAATGGATTGGAGCAAGAGGCCTGGAATTTCAGATGTTTCTTGCAATGTACATGAGTTTGAAGATCAGCTTAGTGTGGATTCTCACAAGTTTGTTGTTGTTCATGGAGCAGGTTTCTTAAATTACATTTCAATTCTTTACTTGATATTGTTAGATTTTTAAAGGCAATAAAATTTTGATTCAAAATTTTATGTGATTATATTTTTGATGATGTTTGTTTTAGGTTCTTTTGGGCACTTTCAGGCTAGCAAGTCTGGGGTTCACAAAGGAGGATTGGACCAACCCCTTGTGAAGGCTGGTTTTGTTGCCACTCGCATTTCCGTATGTTTATATTTGCCTAAATTTGTTCATCGATCATTTAGAATTTTTTTTTTTTTTTTTTTTTGTTCTCTTCTGAGCTTGTGTGAAACAGTGATCCTTTATTTATATATTTTTTTCTCTTCAAGTGATTGTATCATTTTGTTTTGGTTTGTTGTGTTTCAGGTTACAACTCTGAATCTTGAGATTGTTAGAGCACTAGCCAGAGGTAGTAATCTATACATTATGATGTCAATGGTATTAAAATATCCAGTGTTCTCTTTATTTTGTGGTGCTCCTTTGAGTTCGTTAAGTCTATGCAACAGTCTATTTGTGTTGCGGACAAAAATTCACATCATGCTTGATGTTTTCCATAGTGTAATTTATATTCTGCACTAATACATATCAAAGCTTTTATTGCCTGGAAATACAGATATGTCTAAGAAAATTTCATACAATCTTTGAAGCTTTGGTAGAACTGGTGTTAGCAATGTGCATTGTCCGGCTACAATAGTCTAATGAAGTCTTTTTCTTTTCTTGAACAGAGGGTATTCCGTCTGTTGGGATGTCTCCATTTTCATGTGGATGGTCAACCTCTGGGAGAAATGTTAGAAGCATCCATCAGGACTTTATTTGTTAGATTTTTTGCTTCAATTATGGGAACTTATTCTATTTTCCTCTTCTATTCCTTTCTTATGGAGCATTGATCCTTTCTAAGGTTAGATTCTTGTATTTTCCCAGATAGCCTCAACTGATTTGTCAGTGGTGGACAATGCAATTAAATCTGGATTTGTACCTGTAAGTTTAAATTTTATTGTTTTATATGTTATCTTATTTTTGTTATCTTTATTTTCTTTCCAAATATACCTGTTTATTATTTGAACCTTGAAATTATTTTGTGGATATATACATATTCAACCACCAATGAGATCTGTTAGTTTGTTTACTTCTGTGCTGGCAACTTAAACCATTTGAAGTTGGATAACATCTTTCCAATACATCTTTTATCAAGAAACTAGATTCGCAAGTACTCATGTTTGAAGCAGATTAGTGACATCACATTCTCATTTTTAACAGTAGAACTTGTGGGTATCCCTCATACTATTTCTCTATTTGCATACAATCACTTGAAGAGGGAAAAAAAAAAAAAAAAAGATAACTGTTCCACACAAGCTGAAAAAAATTCTCTTAAGTATGTTAATGGCATGCTATAGTGGTGTTGGGAAAGTATGCAATTTTTCTTTTATCGGTTCTGTATGGAGAGATATTTTGACCTGGATGATAAGGGAGCAAATAATAGATTCAGAACATAAATTTCCTTGGAAATGGTAGAGTTAATGTTGATTGTGATCTGCCTTGTAGGTTCTACATGGGGATGCAGTACATGACAACTTACAGGTTTGATCCCTCTGAAAGTTAGTTAGCATCTTGGTTTTTTCCATTGCATTGACATTTTTATTTCTTTTGTTATTTATATCAGGGATGCACCATATTGAGTGGAGATGTTATTATACGACAACTTGCAGCAGATTTGAAGCCTGAATATGTTGTTTTTCTTGTATCCTTTATTGACGAAGTAATTACTTTTATGCATTTTGTATCTTGGATAGTCTTGTGATTGATACAAATATTATGTACAATCAGATTTATATATTACTCATGGATGGTTAAATTCATTTATTTAATTTATTGTCAAACCTTGATAGTTTGAAGGAAATTTATAAAATGAAGAAAAGAGAAAAACACTCCTAGTCATTGGAAACATAATGAGCCTTACCCCTCAATGAAATCTGTACAGATAGGAGAATCAAATGCAAATGCATGAGAAACAAAATATGGATGGTCAAATTCTTCGAGTGTATATTTGATATTTCTTTGTAATTATGAGAGATCTGAAACTTCTTTCAATTAATGTTGTCCGCTCAATTAGTTTTGAAGACAGATGTTTCGGGCGTATATGACCGCCCACCGACAGAACTTAATGCAGTCCTTTTGAGAGAAATTGGTAAGCAGTCATTAAAGGCCCTAGATGTTTGTATATGTATGGCCGTATTAATTTATTTAGATGGAAATGACACTTTTCATGTTTCACAGCTGTGGCTGAAGATGGAAGCTGGTCTGTCATGAAACCAGTGCTTCAAGACATTAATAAGCAAGGTTAGTGACGGGCCTTTTGTGGTATAATGTGATTATGGCATCTACTTTATCTATAAATTTTATAAAGCTACATAGACTCCTGGTGGGTCAACCATTTTGCAATATTTTCAGTTTATTTTCATTTTCTTAACTTGATGAAAAAATAATTAAAGATAAAAAATAACCCATGTGGTTAGGGTGCTCCATTTACTGTAATGGCTTCAAAGGATGCATTCATTTTTTCTGTAAATTGCAACAGAAAAGAGAACAAAACCGATTGCCTTGAAATGGCCATAGTTCTATTGAGTTTTGGTTTCCTGTAGTATCTGATTTTAGTGGCATTCCACTTGGATATGCCCTGTTTCTTCCCTACCACTTCTTCAGCTCTATTCCTAAACACAGCTAACGACAAGGGGGTTAACTGTAACTATTTTATGATATCTCGAGCATAAAATGTCCAAAGAGTTTAAAAGATCCGTGTTCAGATCAGACTAGCAGCTTACTTGTCCGTCATGATCATAAATGTGATTCTATATCTATTGTCACTTCAATCGAGACCATATACACTCATAATTCCAGTTTGTTAACCATGTTTATGTCGATGTCTTAGTGGTTCCAACATATTTTATTGAACATAGATGTGAACACTATTCATCTTGTTTTCTTGGGAAGATATATGCTTTTCTTAATAGGCAGTAGACTTTGTTTCTGGTTTTCAGACCAGACAGCCAGCTGATAAAAGTTTTCACCTGTCAAACAGTCGATTTTACGGTGGCAGCCCATGATACAACTGGGGGGATGGAGGCCAAGATATCTGAAGCTGCAATGATCGCAAAACTTGGAATCGATGTCTACATTGTACAGGTAGTAGTAACTTCCAGGGCCATGTTCCTATTTAACTCAGGTTCTGCTATCGTATTAAATTTAGATTTTGCAGTACTGAGATATTTAAGTCTTTACAGGCAGCTACAAGCCACTCTTTGAGGGCTCTTAGAGGAGAATTAAGGGGCAATATACCCGATGACTGGCTTGGGACAGTTATCCGTTTTTTGAAATAGAAGGGGCAATAGACGAATGGTTGGGATTTTATTTCTGAACATTGGAAGTAATTGAGTTTTATCCCAAGATAAATAACATAATGGACATTATGTCTTACTGGATGTCAAGATTTAATTACCAAAAACACAAAATTGACTCTTTCATACATAGGTTTGGAACACAAAGCGGCTGACCATTGATGCGACAACGGATGAGTATTTTTGGGAAACTTGTTATGGTTGTAAGTTATCACTTTTCCTAATGCAATGATTTTTAATGTCTCATGAAACTGATTAAGCAAGTTATGTTACGTTTCTGATATTCTTAAACGTTGAAATGCCTGATGCTACAACTGCTACTATCGGGCAGTTTGCCCAAGATTTGGATCCTCTTTTGAAGAGTAAACTACTTTTTCCCACCTAAGGTTTGCTTTAACGACACTCTCCTACTAAAAAAAGTTTCAAAATACCTTTTTTCCATTTAAAGTTTATATTCTGTTACTATTTAAATTCGATTCCAGTTGCGAAAATTCTCTCTCACCACCATTTGAACTTCTGGTCTTCTCTATAAAAAAACTTCTCTCACTTCGATATCGGATTTTTTTGCTGATTATCAGTCCCAGTAAAGTTAAGGTTTTATGTTTTTAATCGATTTTTGGTTGATAAGTTTAAAAATTTTAGTAATAATTATTTCTTGGAGTGGGGTTAATAATATGGGTGGTTTGTTTTGTTATTTTGGATATGATTTTGAAAATAATATTGGGTAGTTGAATAGGGTGAGTATTACGAGGTAAAATTTAAAAATTTATAAAAAAAATCTCTTAGGTTTGCTAATTTAACTAAACACCTCAATATATAAAATTTTTGTAAAATGACAAAAATACCCTCACCCACCACAATGCCAAATTCTGGTCACCGCCGTTGGAATCTGTCCGAAAAATAGCTTACGATGCAGACCGGTCGAATCTAGTCGGTTATGCGTTGATATGACTTTTTTCGGTTAGATCCATTGTATATTTGACCGGAAAATGCTAGATCGGTGAATTACCAACTAATTTCAGTCGTTTCTACGCCGTTGTGACGGATTTTGGCAATTACCAATGCTGGTTATCGAAATCTGACAACTATAGGTGGGTAGGAATATTTTTGTTAATTTTTAAACTTTTTTTCAGAAGTGTTTAATTAAATTAATAAACTTAAAATATTTAAAAATAATTAAAAAAATATAATAATATTTCTCAAATAATTAAATAAATATGTACTTTAAAAATAAGATAAAGAATAATAAAACAAACGCAACCATTATTATTTTAATGCAAGTCTTTCGTGGTCATAAATGAGTTTTCCTCCTATTTCATCCCTCTCACAGCGACAGCTTTAGCAGTAGCACTAATCTCTGCCACCTTTTTCCTCAGATTCCATGCCAAAAAATCGCCTCATAAGAGTTAAGACTGAAAAATATCACGCCACCTCTCCCCTGAACAAGTACTTAATTATAACAGGCTCTTTGACTTAATGATGGACCTTTCACGCAAATATAAAACCTACATATTGTCCTCCTCTCATATGATTTTGTTTTTTGTGGGTGACCCACGGGTCGAACCGCACGAACGGATACAGCTCATGCATTTTCAAACCCGTAAAATTTTTTTATCCGTAATTACCCCGCCTGTAACCACGCGGCCCGCCCGTTTGCCAGGTCTATTTAAAACTACCATAATCTATTATAAAATTATCTTATTTTATAATTTAAATTTTAAAACAATTTATTTATCACGACCTTATCCTTGTTGAATAAAGAAAAGATAACATACATAAAAGCAGATAGAATAGAATGTCGAATCATCAGTACAAGTCAGAAAAAGTTAAAGGTGTGTTTAATAGAATATCACTTCGAAATTTTAGGAACAAGTTGCTAAACCAAACCAGATGAGTAAATACGAAGACTTAAACTTTTATAATAAATCCAAATATGAACCTCAGGAGTCTTGACCTTGCCCAGAAGCGAGACATCAAATTGTTGCCTCACAGATAAGACTAGTGATGAAAATTAGATAAACTAGAAATGGAATATGCTTATAACGAAATCAGAAAATGGGAATAAGTGTAAATTGCAAATCCAAACTTAAAAAGGTGCTTAGAAGTGTATATACAGTCTTGCATGCTGGCGGATATTACTTCTCCACACCAAGAACCACAGTTCAACTTTCAAGCAGTGCAGCAATCAAACACAACAAAAATATATAGTCTATAAATGCCAATTAACAAATGGCAAGAGTCATCTTATAAGAGGCCACAACTAGTCAAGCATGATCTTTTAGCAGATGATCCCTTCATCTCAAAACCATAAACCCCAACCCCAATAAGCTACACTATCTTATCCTCCATCTTTTGTTCTACGGTCTTCAGCATTTCACGTCAAACAACCAAGGTCAGTTTTTGGGACCAATGTCCTTCAGGGCACAAATCTGCTCCTCTCCCATAGCAGACATCACACTCACAACAAGATCTTTCCCTTCTTCAAATCCAGCCTTGATCTGCAAACGAATCCAACAACACAACATAATTAATGAAAATCTCTATAGCAAATGGGAACACCTAGAAAATTGCAGAATAATGATAGCTACCGCTATCATTCTTCAAAATCCAAGTAACTAACCCACTTGACAATTCAAGTTTGCCCATGGAATCAAAGTCAAGGTTTACTTTTTTTTTTTTTTTTTTAATTATCTCTTGGGTTTATTTAAAGCTATTAAACAGCACCGATCCAGTAAATAACCAAAAGATACTAGAGGACATTTTGCATAACTCAGAAACTGCTTCGAAATACCATGCATAACAATTCAAAATTCTCAAACCCATAGCAATAACAAATGTTTATAAGAAACTAAGTTAGCTAACCTGTGTGAGCAGACTGTCATCAGTTGGAAGCCTCAGGTCATCCTTAGTATTACCATTTTCAGTCAGAAGACTCACCTGTAATTAGAAAAGCATCAGATTAATCCTTAATCCTAAACCACAAAGACAATCAACTAAACATTATAAAATAAAATAAAATCATACAAAGCCATCCTCAGAGATATCAATCAGCTGGTAGTCAGTACGATTAACATGTGGAACCTGTAAAATACGAAAAACACATTACTCTCATTCGGCTTTAAAAAAAAAAAGAATGAAATTGCATAAAACTAAGAACAAAAGCGAAGTGAATACATCACAGTTGTGGGAGGAGGGAACAATATCTTCAAGCTTCTTCCCATTGAAGATATCAATTCCAACAAAGTGACACTTAGCATGACCGTGCTTTCCAGTTTTGGAAGTAGAAACCTCCACAACCTGCAAAGAACAATCACATATTTGAGCAATCCCATTTTTTCCAGAAACAAAACTTAAACCGAATTTTCACTTGAGGTTTCAGTCTTTGCTTTTACAAGATTATACGATCACTATCAAATTAACTTTTTTTCCCGTTATAGATCTTCAAAACTTGCTAGATTTCACTACCGAGTGGTAATATGCCGTGGAATATATTTTCAGATCTTAGTTCGACCTTTCTAAACTAATTAAATAATTTACCAAGATGTAACGTCACATCGAAATCTAAACAAATAACCAAAATAAGTGAAACCTAAGAAACAAACACAGATCTCCAGCACACACAAAAATAGCAAATCCAACCGAATTTACAAAAATTACAAATAAAATAAACTACACACAAGTAACGTCCAACAACAGATCTAAAATAAACGACATAACTCCAGATCAGAAAGAAAAGGACCTTGCAGGGACGGTTTTTTATGACGATGTATCCGTTCTTGCGGATGGTGCCAGCCTGCTGCGGGTAGGTCTTGGAAGCGCCGGCGTCAGCCTTAGACTCGAAGTGGTGCTCCTCGTCCGACATGATTCAGCGAGTTGTCAAGTTAAAATTAAATTAACAATTTCAAAGAAGAGAGGAGAGGGGGAATGGTGATTGATTGGGTTTTGGATATTTATAGTCAGCTTTAAAGACTGGAGAGTTGTGTACTATGTAGGGTACTAGGGTTTGCTAAAAAAGTCAGCTTTATTAAAGCTGTCTCTTTAGGCCGTTGGATTAGGTATTTGTAGGGTGAGGATTTGGATATATATAAATATCTGAGTTTGCGTTAAGTTGACGCAGGGACTGGCACGTGCGTGTTATGGTTCTTGCATCTAATATTAATTAATTGATTCTTTTGTCGTACTCATAACAATTTCAAATTGAAATTATTTTTATTTGAAAGAAACCGTATAAATGAAATGACATTATAATCTTTTAGACCATCACCCATCACAAACATCAAATCGTGCAAGTTTTACACTAAATTATTGTGCTTTTTCTGTAATAACTCTAATAATTGTATCAAATATTACACAGGAATATTTCTTAAAATATATTTTTTCTTTTTATTAATAATCAACCATTAATCTATTTTATTAATTATTTATATATATATTAATTAAATATTAAAAATAATATTTTTATTAAATAATAATTACTTTAAAAATTATATTTATTTAATATAGAAAAACATTACATTTAATATAAAATACTACAAAAAAAAAAAGACAACAACAAAACAAAAGTAAAATTTCATATTACTAGTAATTTAATTTTTCGATTTAATACATTTTTCCCATAAATGATCAATTAATGCATTTTAAAGAGCATAGTGAACCTTTATATCCTTGATTTGTTTATGACGAGCAAGAAAATTTTGAAATCGGACATTTTCATCTACGATAATTTCAACTTCGGGAGTTGACACTTCCATCTAATTCTCAATCAGTGCATCAACATTACTATCATTTTTTAAATTCTATAATTATTATGAATTTATTATTATAAATATTAATATAAATAATAATCAAATTAACATAAATACAAATAATAAAAATAAGAAAATAAAATATATTTTATAGTATATAAACAGTGCCACACCAAATTGGTGTAAGTAAACAGTTCACGCCAAATTTGGCGTGATATTGTTCACTTAGATCAATTTAATGTGAAACTTGACGTAAAACTATTTACTTACATCAATTTAATGTGATGTTTGACATTGAATTAGAGCACATTTTTCACACTATTTTGATGTTTTGGCATTGGGTTGGAGATGTCCTTATACGATATCTGATTTCATATGCTTCATACTTGTATAACCCAAATCATGGATCCATTCAAACAGCTGTAATTCATCGATCATGTAATATGCTCTGCATAATTTACAATTATCAATTGAACCCGCATTACAAAACCTCTTCATTCAAGTGGTATATGTCAAACTTACTTTACAAGGAATTACACTACAAACAACTACTTTCAGTAGGCATTTCACCAATAATCCTGTCAGCTTCATGCTGGATTTTCAATGAATGATCGTAGAGATGGCTCATAAGTATATAATTCAAAGCTTCGAATTATATTAGAAGTAGAGCACGATCAACTAAGGGGATGTTTAACTAAACTTATAAGTTGGTTAAATTTTTAAAATTAAAATTAATCGTTTGTTTATAATCATTTTAAGCTTATAAACAGTCGATTTATAAACTATTTTAACCGAATATATTATCACATTACTTTTATTTAATTTTAAAATTTCATCATATAACCTTATTTTTATATTTTAAACAATTCAAGCTTCTATAACTATTCACAGCAAAAATTATTCATATAAATTTTTAATAAAATATTTGTTTATTTGATTCTAAAATTAAATTCTATTGTAATATAATCGAAAGATATTTTGATAATATTATAATAAAAAATTGAGTTAATATAATTTGTTAGATAAAATAATACAGTATCATTTTTAGTCATTTTAATAATAAAATATATTTATAAGTCATATTTTATCAAACATATCAATCATTTATCAGTTACTTCTACATACTTTAATCAAACACATAATTGCATAAATTTTAAATGCTTATAAGCTCAAATTACCTTATAAGCACTAACCGCTTATAAGTTAATTTTCATAAATTCGACAAACAGGCTTTAAGTTAGTTCATCAGAGATTCAAACAAGGAGGTAGCATTGCAGGAATTGTTGCTCTTTAATCACTTGGAACTTGAACAAATCTGAACGCTCTAATTCTTCAAATCCTAGGATAATCTGAATCTTATTGAAACAAGGGACAGACTCCAGGAGCCAGTGTTGCCTTCACCAGACAGTTTGGATATTATAATCAGCAAATTCGTACTGAATGTCTTTAGAATAAGCAACTAAGAACTTGTATAGATGTCATCTTCCATAGATACGAGTCATTACCTCATTTTGAAAACCCTCTCATACGGTCATTTCCTACTTCTACTTCTAACAGAAACTGATCTCAGGTGGTCAACATCCATTTTGTGAATGAATATCTGAGGAGGCTCTTCTCTGTCACAAGCCGACTGCACACTGAAAAGATTAAAAACCTTCAGTTGAGTCACAACCACCCTTTTGCTATATTGACTGCTCTTTGCTAACATGCTATGTGACCATTGACACTACAAAAAGCTTTAAGGAGCACGTTATTAGGCCACCTAAGGATCTACTGAGTGCCGTAGATCTGGAGAAGTTGGAATAAATAAGTCAAAGGAAAGTGCAGAAATAAAAAAAATATTTGCAAATTACTAACACGAGACAGAAGAAAGCCTATTAGATGGGTCAATAAATCAGAGGGCACAAGTTTCATATGGTTTATGGTTGTTAATAAAATGCAGCGAACAGAGGTGCAATTAAAGTGGAAGTTTAAGCGCTTGGAAAGACAAAAACAGACCAATACCACTTTAGAAAAATAAATACTTGAATCCATGCTATCTCAATAACATTGTATTTAACAGGCAAGAAAATTGAGAACTCTTTGGTGAACCATCAATAATGGAGGCATAGGCAAGACAAGATAAAACTCAAATTGTGATGCTGATTGACGCCCAGCTAAAATATGCAAGATATAATAGTAATGCGTTGTTAACACATCAAACTTAACAATTAAAAACTGAATAGAAGGAAAAAAAGTCAAAGGTAATAGCTAACCTTTCAATAGCTTCTTGGTAAGTATAGCTTGATGCAACAGCAAGAAGTTCTCCCCCATGGTTGTATGATAATGATGCCACACTATTTGGGAATTCCAGCAACTGAAAGCAAGAGAAGGTTAGAGTGATACAAGAAAGATAGATATCTATTATTCACAATTTATCAATGTACCATGAGATACAATTAGAACAAGAACCCTACTTGTTGATCCAGATTTTAGCATCAAGAAGTATGATTCTTATTTGGTTAAGGTTTGATTCCCCAATTTCAAGAAAATTGAAGTACTTGTGGTCACTATAAAATAGGCCTTCATGTAGTTTCTTAAGCAATGAATAGTGAATACTTAAATCTTGTCTTGTTATCTCTCTCCTCTTATGTTGTCTTCTCTCTTTACTTTTTATCTTCTCTGTTTGTTATCTCCCTAATCCAAATCCTAACTTTTTAAAACTCTTTTCCCAACCAATTCTTTATTTAAAATTATGTTCTTTCTTCTCGTTTCTCACCCTATTCTTCCCTTCTATCTCTCTCAACCTTTATTCTTTTTCTTTCCTTCTTTCTGTTTACTGTCCTATATTAAGCTGCTGATACAAGTTGGATTAAAGTCCAAAAGTGGATTTTTTTAGTTTTATTTTCCAACTATACCAAAAAAATTGCATTCATTGCTAAAGCATCATGTGCAAGTCTCATAAAGAATCACATGAATATACCTCAAATAGTCTTCTTTTGTGTTTGGCATCCCATGCAATAACAGAACCCTCATTATCGCCAGTAACAAAAGGACCATCCATGCTACATCAAAAATACCAAACTGTCAATGAAACTTTTAACAATCTATGGGAATCATGCAGATTAATATATACTTACAGTGGACTGAATACAATATCATTCACTGAGACTACATGATATCTTCCATTCTTTGACTTTGGATGACACCGAAAAGTATATCTGGAAGAATGTAAGAGATGCATAAGATAACATGTCCTACGAGCATTTTTGCATTCACACTTATACACAAACCTGAAATGGCTTTTAGGTACAGCATACAAAACTCAAAATTAAATTCTAAACAGCTAGATTCTAAAACCTGAAAGGAGAACCCTAATGCAACAATCAGATAAAAAATATAGGTTTCCTGTAGCATAGATGGAGCTCTGAGTTTGGTCAAATGTTATAATGCTACCTTCAACTGTTAATCATGCATTAGAAATTCAAATCAGGAAACCTTAAACCATTCGGGAGCTTTAACAACTTTGTATGGAAATTCTATTATTGAAAATTAAATGGAACACAAACAAAATTGATTTCAATAACAAGCCCAATGAGAACACACAGTTAAATGAATCAACAAAGAATAGTACTACACATACAAAAAACTCTTATAAAGATTCACATACCATTAACAAAGGGAAGCCTACCATGTTCTAAGTTTCAAACTATAAGAAGTAAAAGAATTACTGAAACAGAAAATATAAACAACCTACCCCCCATTATTTGAATCAGATGGATCAGAGATGCTCACTGCTACTCGTCCATCTGTTGATCCAACTACATATCCTGCACAAACATGAATTCTTCTTCAAACAGCTATGTAACAGATTTAGAAAAATTGGTCTAATTACAACATCAAATCATAAATCACAAAAATCTGTTCTAATATAGTATCTATGTTTCCTAGAAAAAGAATCACAAAGCTGATTTAAAAAATTGATAATCTTCAATACTTAGAATCCATGACTCAGAACAACACTTAAATCTTGAATTGTGGAGGCAAAGCAAATATAAGTTAGTATCCAAGAATTAAATTAATTCCACGACATACAGAATTTCCAACTAACAGTCGGTGCCTTAAAATGAGGGTGTCCACATCCAATATAGCTACAATGTTTACAAAAAGCATAACAGAAAAATCTATAATTTGCAATACCTCTAGCATAAGGAATTGAACTGACACATTTTATTTGGTCCATAAGTGATTCACTTGATAGTACTGAGCTGTCTAAGTTACGTAAGTCATACATATGTACTGATGCTCCAATGGCTACTATCAAATCAAAGCCAGACAGTGACATGGAATCCACCTCTTCACCTAATTTTTTCTGATAAGCCAGAGCCATTCCCATGCGCATGTCCCAGGACATTATCTTCTTGTCCAAACCAGCAGTAAGTAGCTGCTCTACAGCAATCCAATATAAGGAGTTATATACAACTTGTTAATAAGAAGATAACTGAGAAGTCAGAGAAAGGGCTTTCATATGTTCCACAATTATATGTAGGAGCTTGAAGTGCAAGTCATTAAGCATGAAGTAACAAGAACAGACACCATTCAGTTACATGATAACCTTAAAAATGATCCCAACATTGTCCTCAGGTTTTAGTGCAAACAACCACAGGTCCACAGTACCTCTCATGCAGAACTTCTTTTTTCATGCCATTTAAAAACCCCATTATCTGTAATTAATGGGAGATGACCAAACCCTCACTAATTACTACTTGTGGACCAGTATGGCACTAAGTGTTTGAGATATTTGGAAAAATCTTCAGATGATTGGAGCCGATCATGAGCACTAGAATGTTAATCTGTTAAAGGGCCTAAGCAGCAATTTATATTAGCATTTTAAGAGAGGGTAAAAAGCTAACATTTTTTACAAGTTAAGAAACTTTGCTACATTGACTCCAATGATTATCGTTTCTTGTTATTGAGAGCTCAGAATAACTGACATGCAATCTACATAAAACTTGGAATCTTTTATACAAGATCATTGCATGCCTAGTTAATTTCTATATCCAGTGTAAAAATTCAGAATTTCAATATTCTTCAAAATAGTCAATGGGTACTTCACATTTTACATTCCAAGTGAGGGAATCATATAAACCAATCTATCCCAAATAAATGCTCCTCATTTTATAAGCATTATTGAAGTATTATCAGTAAACTTACCAGTTTCATCTGAATACTGAAGACATGTTGCAATATCATCATGATTTCCGATTGTGTCATGCATTCCCGAATGCAAGTCATACCTATAAAAATAGGCTCGAAAGGAGTCAACATATATCTTGATATTTTAACTTGCACTCTGACATAAAAAGAAAAACATTTCATAATTTGGTAAAAGAAAAAATTAAAGGTTGAACGTTTCATGCATCTTATCATGCAATAGACAAAAGCAACAAGCCGAAAGAATGAGATCTTCAGGCAACCTCATAAACTTAAAAGAGTAAACTGAAAGAAAAGACAGAATCACGTTAACTACAAGCATATATGGTAAATAGATAGAATTTATTAAGCACAACCTGAAAGGCATTTAAGGAAGGCTGTATAATTTTTCTTGAAATAGTAAAATAAAAAGAAATCTTCTGTGATTAAGGCATGGTAATCCTCTTTCTGTTTAGTTTACTTTCATAAGGAAGTTTAAGAATTGAGACTATCCCTTTCCAACAAAACCCATTGTCATTATAAACCCTAAAATTGATACTTATTCTACAATAAAAAGAATTTAAAGTGTCGTATTGTGGCTAACATTGGAGCCTTGTGAGTTTTAAAATATCTAATCTTGAGCGTCATTTTAATTTTTATAGTTGCAGTTTTCATGTAACAGAACTACATTCTAATTCAAATTCTTTTTACAATAAGTTACGCGACAAGTGAAAAATTAAGATGGGTTTGAGTTTCAGTGATGCAAAAAAACAAACCTTCTAATGGAACCGTCAGAGCCAACGCTAAACGTGACGTCGTCGTTTTGGAAACAACAATCAAGAAGTGCAGCTTCCGTGGGAGTCACTAATCTAACCAGAGAACTATCCACATCATACAATCGAAGACACTACAAATAAACAGAAATCACTAGTTATAATAATTCAAAGTCAAAACGCATCACAAATTTAATTAAAAAAATCATAATTGAAAAAAAAAAAACTCACAGAATCCCACGAAGAAATTAGGAGATTATTTGAATTTGGAGCAAATCGGATTCTGGAAATCGCGTCACCAATCGGGTCCTCGAAATCCAAACAAACTCTGTTCATTTCTGAAATTTAAGGACTGTGAACCGAAGTTTAATTCTTCCCCTCCGTGCTAATTCTCATGCACCCTTTGATTAATTAGTTGAACGTATAGTGTGTGAAGCGAGCTGACCTTTGTAAAGGTTTCAGACTTAATATTCAGAGACTTGTGATATTTATTTCAGGCGCTGAATGCTTCGCTGGTTAAGAAAAAACAAAACCCTAATTCCTTTTCCTCTTTCAATGTGGTTGTCCTCTAGACTGGAGTGGACTTGTGAACCGAAAAATTAAAAGTTCCCGCTCCGTGTTGAGTTTAAGATGAATTAATGATCAGCTTTCTGCCTAATTACTGAATTACCCCTGTGGTCCAATTTGGTCAAATTTCACTACTAAATATATAATAAATTATCTCTTAAAGTTAACTATGTTAAGATTGTTTTTACATTCATTAAAGTTATCTATAAACTGAATATTTGATTACATCAATTTCTTTATTCAATAGACAGAAATATGAAATTAGATTTCTTAAAGTTAAAACCATATCTTAAAGGATAAATGATTAAATATTTAGATAAGTTTTCAGAACATAATTTAAGCATTAAATTTTGTTCTTATTTTTGTAAATTTACCAATCTTATAAAACCTTATGGTTAATACTAGTAAAAAAGAGCACAAGGGAACTCATAACCCTACTTCAACTTGATCTATTTATTTCCCAGTTTGTCACCTACAAGATGTATTGAATACTTAACCTGCCAAGGAAGCCATCTTTCAATCTTTCATAGCCCACAACCTCAAATATATCTAGTCAAACACCAAATTCCAGTCTTTATAAAAACACACACAAACACCATTTAATATAATTGATGAGAAGATACACCTTTCTGCCAAAAGAACAAAAACATTCAATCATATTAGAAATTAAAACAGAGCAAAATTTCCAATTACCTTACATGAAATTTCATTTATATACAGAATTGTGCAGTCACTGCACCAGCTGAACATTCAAACATCTAACAAAACAAACTTCTAAAACTAGGCAAACACATTGCTTTTGTCCTTAAGAGTTCAAAAACCAAATGATCATTCATCTGGGACGAAGAAATCAAACTTGACATCTACAGAACCAGAAATTTCTCCGGTATCCTTATACTCAACGTTTGCTATTGTTCCATTATCATAAACATCTAGATATTCTGGCTTCACACGCCGCACGGGCACAGTAACAGAGTAAATGGTACCAAGATCTGTATCGGTAGACACACTCAGCTGAACTTTATCCTGTGATTCTATCACCACAAAGTCTGACAGAGCATGCACAATGTTGCTCACAATCTTCCTTTTCGCCTCATCACTAACTGCACATCGGTCAGAGAAGAGAATCATCTTCAAGCGCTGCTTGGCAATCCTTGCGTTAGAGCTCCTTCTCGTCATTGGAGATGGGAAGACTATCTTCCAAGCCAAGTTTAGACGTTCAAAGAAGCTCATATTGATGGCATCCAGGAGGAAGCTCTCAATTTCTTGGTTAATGGAACCTGAAGACAGTTTGTAGTCTCCCGATGTACCAGAAAATCGTTTAGATTGGCACATGCTACGATTACGAAGAACTATGCCATTCCATTTGGGTGAAATTTCAGAAACACTTGATCCTCCATTCAGGAAACCAGTAAAATCTACCTACAAAACAGTAAAAGGTTTAAGAAATTTAAATGTTGCCAGAAATTTATTTATTTACCAAAACATTTATATAGCGCACAATTAAGATCCACCAACCTAATGCTTCAATTTAAACTTTTAATCCCCTTAAGTATACGAATGAAGGGATTTTGGCGTATTTCAGATTATCGACAGAACATAATAGATGGGTTGTCCATGTTTGACAATCATAGCCGTTGCCATTAGTGTAGCAGAATCCTTTTCAGGATCTTATTTGTAATGAAATAGACCAAACGGTAATAATTTGTACTCAGGAAGTACTCAAGCTCAGTTAATTCATTAACAGAGATGCTTCCAGCTGTGACATGTATGCACTAGTAACTATTGTAATCCTCTCAATAAATCACAATATACCACTATCATCTCGTCACCATTCTTAACACCATCCTAGCTGTTAAATAAAATCTTGTATTTCATTTTAATTTTTTTTATCTACTGTTTGTTAACTTATAGTCTATTTGACAACTGCTTTCAAATAGCACTGCCAATTCACTTTTTCCATCATTGCAGTCAACCCCTGGCTGGGACTCTAGCCAAATGCCATCGCCACAAACTCTTATATGGCAACAAGCAGCATATGCACTTTGCAATATCAGACCTTGACTGATATTGATGCAACTTTATGACTCATGAGCAATAGTCAGCTGCTATAGCTAAGTGAGCAAGTAGCAATTGTTACCTGCACATAACATACTGGTCCGAAGCACCAAAAGTCCTAAGGATCAGATGATCCACCTAAAATCAGCATTCTATGTAAACTATTTACATACGCAAGAAAGAGGAGAACCAAAACAACAACCACAACACCAAAAGAACAGTAACTATTTCATTCATTTCTGAATAATTTAGAACTTGAAAAAGCACATTTTTTTTTTTTTTTTTGGTTTAAATGATTACTCTTTTGAATCCACACCTCTTATAAGCTTTGATTGCACTATATTAAAAACAAAATGAAAAAATGGAAATTTAAAACTGTTACCCTAATCTCTACATACCGGAAAATACATAAGCCAGATGACCAAATCACAATTACCAAGCAGGTTGATAAGTGGCCAAGACTGATGTTATCTCCATCACAAAAATTGTGGAGGTTTACTAAGAAAATGAAAACTGTAACCAAGCTATTCAAGCGTTAGATCTTGGTCACTTTCATAAATTTAGTTCATTGGACGAACAATTGTAACTATTTTACACAAAATGACAAAACTCAGAAAACATGAACTAGAAGTCTAGAACAAACAATTTCCACTGTAGCCCCAAACCTTTCATCAAAAACCAATTACCCATTTCATTTATTCGGCAAAGAAGCCAAGAAATAAGCTTATAATGGACAAATTTGAGAAAGCCTATAACATTGATAATAAAAAGAAAGAAGGAAGAATAAGATATTAAGGACCTTTGAAGAAGGTAATGAGCTTCGAAGAGGATGTTGATGATAAGAGGCCAGAGTGGCAGCGACCCTCAAATCCCCTGATATCGCCATTCTCGATTTTGTCGATTGCTTCAACGGTCACTCTTTTCTTCACTTGGGCTTCATCGGGTTTCATCACACTAGTAATATGAAAAACAGCCTTGAACTGAAACGACAGCGTTCAGGTCTTGACTTTTAACAATTTTTCTTTATATATATGTAATGTATAATAGATAATAATTATTTATGTTATATTATCATTGAAATTCATATATGAATATATGATTATGAGTTATTGTCATAAGATGAAGTTAAAAATTTGAGCTTTACGTCTCCTAACCTTTTAAAAAAAAATTATATGTTATGGATTCAATATAAATATAATGCAATGCATGGCAAATTTTGTATAATAGATCTTGTGAATTTAATATTTTACGTGAATTATAAGATCATGATTTATGTGTATTTTTTAAATACAAAGATATATCAATAAGCATTACTCATGTTTTTAATAAAAATGACAAATTTATAATAAATTATCGAGTAAACGACTTTTTTACACCCAAATAATGGTTTAACGACATTTTCCTATCTACGGACTTTTAAAATACCACTTCACTACTCAAATTTATATTTCGTTTCCGATTCTGATATTGTTGTGACCCCAAACCATCACAATTCTCTTCCTCGATCATTACTCACCAAAACCCCTCAAACCTTACTCCTACTGACCCCACAAATCGCCATTAATCGAGCAATTAAAGTTTGGACAGCCGCCCCTCCCAAATCAAATTCTGATCAATCTCAACCCCTAAAATCTAACATTCTACCACCAAAAGACTCATTGGCCTCTTCTCTTCAAAAGCCCTAACAGTCTGGACCGAGTTTGTTCTCTGTTTGCCACCGAAATATAAATTTGGGTAATAAAGTGATATTTTAGAAGTCTATGGGTGGAAAAGTGTCATTAAACCATTATTTGGGTGGAAAAAAGTCATTAACTCTAAATTATCGGATTAATCTTAACTAACCCCTTGAGAGATTGGAAAGTATCAAGCAACACATCTATTATTGAAAAGAGTAAACGTCACTTTCTCACCTTTAGACTTTTAAAATACCACTTTAATACCCAAACGTCACATTCTGTTAACAGTTTTTGTAAAAAACAATGGGTGCATTTGGTTTATTATTTTGGATAAGATTTTGGAGATAGTATTGGATAATTGAATATGTGAGTATTACAAGGCAAAATTTAAAAATTTATAAAAAAACCCCCTAAGTTTGCTAATTTAATAAATACCCCAATATATAAAAATATGTAAAATGACAAAAAGACCCCCACCACCCGTATTGCTAGATTCCAGCCACCACCGCCGGAATCTGGCCGAAAAATTGCATAACGACACATATCGGCCGGATCTGGTCGGTATGGCGTCGCTATGACCTTTTCTGGCCAGATCCACCACGGATCTGGCCGGAAAAGGCAAGATCTACGGCCATATGTGACCGTCGACGGCCGGAAAAGGCCAAAGAAGGCCATCTTTAATGACGGCTATTTCTTTGGCCGTCACTAACGGCCAAATCGGTGAATTACTAGCCAGTTCCGATCGGTAATTCATCGTGTGACAGATTCCGGCTACCATCGACGGTGGTTGTCGGAATCTGGCAAGTATGGATCATGGGGGTGTTTTGTTACTTTTTAAATTTTTTTTCAAAGGGTATTTAATGAAATTAATAACCTTATGGGGTCTAAAAGTAATTAAAAAAATAGGCTAATATTTCTGGAATAATGTGCAAAACATTATTTGGAGAATAGGATTGAGAATATGGGCAGAAATAATAAGCCAAACGCACCCAATGATAGTCACTGTGAAGATAAAAAACCCTTTACTCTTCCTTCTCACCTCTTTCCGATGGCCTCTGTTGGGGCGTGTATTGGGATGGTTGGGGCAATTTCACTAACAGTTGGTGTGCACCAAGCTGAAAAAGTTGGAATAAACCCCAGGAGAAGGTGAAACAGTTGGGAAAACTCTTAGCAAAGCACAAAACACCTCTAACACTCCAAAAGGATCTCCAATTTCACAAAAACTGCTAAAAAAAAAAACCTCCAATTGCAACCCAAACATAAAAAGAACCATAAAAAACCCTAGGGTTGGCGACGACAAACAATGAGTGAGCATGGTCAACTTTTGTAGTAGAGAGACTAGTGAGTCTTTTGGCGGTGATAGATTAAATTTTGGTAGTAGGAATTGGGTTTGGAATTGGTGATTGAGGGAAGAAAAAAAGTGCAAAAACTGATGAAAAAAGGGAGATATGAAGGGAAAAGGAGGTGTGGGTTTTGTAGGGAATGTTGTGAGGAGTCTGTAGGTGGTCTTGGAAGTGATTTTAGATGCCAGAATCAACAAAAAAAAAAAAAAAAAGGCAAAAACCGCCAGCTACAATGTTGGTAATGCGTGCTGCCCCTTTTTAACATGCACATTTCGGCCGATTTTGACGGCCAAAATCACTCCTATGACCATCTTGCCCTTATTTATAATAGACTTTTGACCATTCTATCATTTATCACAAAGAAGTTTACTAACATAATTGTGCTTTGGATATTAAAATTGTATTTTAAAAGTCTAAGGATGAGAAAATATTATTACGCCATTTTTTAGGTGCAAAAAAGTCGTTTACTCTATTGAAAAATGAAAACTATCAAATACCACCATGCCGTAAATAAAATTTTTTGAAAACCAGAAGGGATTAATCGGATATCTACTAATAAAATTTTAATTTGATTAAATTTCTGGAAGACTACAACAGGTGAAAAAGGTCATTTAGTTAAATTTATAGAACAGGTTCAGTAGCACTGTCCTTAGAACGAGGCATTATTCTTGCATTTGTATTGACGTATCATTGGAAAAACCCTAGTCTTTTGTAAGTAGTATTATTCGTAAATAAATAGATGTAATTAGCTCAATCGACGTAATAATTAGAACAAATTACTCGATAGAGGAAGAAGAGTATATGGGAAACGCATCTCACGGTCCAAGAAGAAGTGGACATTAACCAAAACCAAACCAATCCAAGTCCATGAACAGAGAAGTAATATAACGGCCTTTCCATGTACAACCGAAACTGATTCATTGAAGTTGATTGAATCCATTTGTAGTGAATGGGTAGATGGCGATCTGCTTCTTTTCTCCTCAACCGTACAGCCTCAATTTTTAAATCTCGCCCTTCTCTTCATCCTAAACTTCTTCTTCTTCCTCCTCCTCCACCCCCTCAAACCTTTGGCCCTAGTTTCTTTACTCTAAGACGCTTTACTGCAATCCCATCTCGTGTATCTGTTTATTCTGCCGAATTAGATTCTGGGTCACATGATTTTGACCTTGACTATGAACTGGAAGCTAACGAAGATGAAGAGACGGCCAAAATACCCGTCAAAGCTTACTTTCTTTCTACTAGGTTAGCCCTCTGTCTGTAAATTGTCGGGACAAATTAATGGTTTTTTTTGTCATTTATTTCTCTCTTTAATCTAATAGGCCAATATATAAGCATGTTTGTATTCTATGGAATGGGTTGGTTTGCATTCATATATAAGCATGTTAGTATTTCCTGGGAATGGGTTGGTTTGCATTTTACTTTCTCTTGAGTTGATACTGGAGTAGGAGTAGTAATTTAAGACCCGCTAATTCTATTTGGCTTTCACTCTTTAGCCAATAATTTTCCCGTGGAGACCTAAGTACACCTTAAATTTTTGTAAACTGCAGCAAGTTTCACAATTGGTTCTGAATTTGATGTAACAGTGATATGACAAATGAGATAAATAGAGTTGATGTCTAGCTGAAGTTCTTATTAGGCTATTGTCTCTCTTCCCTTGTATGCATAATTGATTTTAGTGCTTTACTCAACTTGACACCGTCATGAATGATATCTTGGATTTGACACTGTATTTCAATTGCGGATTTTTTCCTTGGAAGGTGACAATGCTATTCCTTTTATACTTTTGTCTTGTTTGGATTGAATTCTTTGATTTTAAGGTTTTATCTCAGGTATTTTTACAAGATATATATGCTCCTCTCTGTCCTTTCAATTTAGGGACTGCCTCACCTTTCTCTATTGTTCTGTTTTTATGATGATTTGGCTTCTCAGATTCATGGTTTTGGCAGTATCAATTTGAAGAGCATGCAAGCCGAGAATTTGAGTGATGTTATTCCCCCTTCATCTCGTTCATCAAATTATATTGCCCTCAGATATTGCGATTTTCCTTCAGAAATTTCTGTAAGACAATTAAGAAATCATTTTTCCTTCAAATTGGTCAAAATTCTCAACTTGTTGGCACTGTTTAATTATTTTGTTCCATCAATTGTTCCGCCTTTATTATATATATAAAGTATCTACCAAAGATTCTTCAGCTCATTTGGTGCTGTATAGTTTATGTTGTCAATTGTCAGTGATCTCTTTTTCATGATTTTGAATAGCCATAGGGCAGTAGAAGCTTTTATGTGTTTGGTCTTCTTGTTTGGTTATTGAGGCTCTTATACCTAGATGGAATGCTGGAATCACCTTTTAAATATCCGCCACCAATGGCAACCTATGCAGCATATCTATGTTCAGAGCCAGCAGTTTAAAATGTTTTCCCTTACAAGGGCACCAAGTTGAATTATGCAATGTTTTTGGATTTGTACAAGTCTTTGTATGATGATTTTAGTTGGAAAATCTTCCTAGATTCTTAATGTGGTCTCATTTTCTGGATAACATGTAATTTCTGATTTAGGCACTCAGAGGCAAAGAGAATGTGAGCCACTGCCGTTACATGGTTGTGTTCCAATATGGATCTGCTGTTCTGTTTAATATCGAGGATCATGAAGTTGAAAATTACCTGCATATAATCCGTAGACATGCTTCTGGGTTGCTCCCTGAGATGAGGAGAGATGGTTAGTTTTCTTATGAAGGTTACTTTTTATTGAATGCTATATTTATACAGAAGGTGTATATCTTTTTAACTCTTATTCTTATTTGATATTTCTTTATCCATGGATAATATATCCAATAGTTTTAAGATCATTGCACTCACGTAATTTGTGGTGTACATCGACAATGATGTTCCTTATTTCATGTCACATATTTGCTTACCTCTTAAAAAATATTTTCTTGGTGAATCTGAAGCTAATTTTCTCTTTGGTCCTTGACCCACTGTATTAGATTATGCCATAAAAGAGAAGCCGCTATTGGATGAGGACATGCGAGGAGGCCCAGACTATCTCATTCTTAAGACATTGGATACAGATAGCATTCGTATTATTGGAAGTGTGCTTGGCCAAAGCATTGCTTTGGATTATTTTGTTTCTCAGGTAATTCCTTTGTCGACCTCTTGTTGATCCTTTCATAATGCTATGCAGCCTATTCTGTGGTTGTGTTGTAAAGGCAGTATCATTGGGTTGTTTGTAAGATATTACTCTTTTTTTCCCTTCAAAATTTTAATGCTCGAGTTGTTCTAAATTAAGCTTTGACATTGTTTAATGCTTGTCAATTTGCATTGAAACAAAGCCAATCTTGCTTAAAACTGCTCGTTTTCTATAAGTTAGTTTACAAGGGAATTTAATTACGGATTTACTTTAATCTCTCTTGCCCTTTCTCTAAGGTTGATGGTATGGTTCAAGAGTTTGCGGGTATAAATCGTGCACTGGAGAAAACAGGAACTTTCACAATGGATAGAACAAAGCTCCTTAAACTTGTTGGGAAGGCTAATTCTAATCTAGCTGATGTTATTCTCAAAGTTGGACTTTTCGAAAGGTGACTGCTAACCCTTTTATGTGGTTTGATTAGTTTCAAAGTCACCTGTAGTCACTAGATTGTAAGATTCAAACTTATATTCTTTAAGATAACCTGTGTACAAGAATAGAAAATAAGCACTGCAGTGTGTTTTCATGCACAGTCATTTAATGAATCATTGTCCTTGTATCTCTCTTCACACAGTTCTGACAAAAAAGAAGGCAAAGAAATGTTTTATTAGATCCATTATTAGTGTCAAAGTATACAAACTTATTGAATTGATGAAATGTTCTGGAATTATGTTGTATGGTGTCTAATTTGAAGAAGGATGTGACTTCAAGACGTGATATAACTATACCCAGATTGTTTTAGGTACAATAAGAATTGTGTATGAAAAGAAGTTAGACCTCAGAGTCAAGCCTGCTGTAACTTCATTATGTGCATATTTACTGGATGAGTTGCCTTTAAGCTTGTGCTTGGTTCACTGAGGTTGATAAAGTTGTTTCTTTCAGGCATAGTTTGTGAACATGGTTATTTGCTTTTCTTATTTGAGAAAAAATAAAAAAAAGGTAGAGTCATCTGGTTTTCTTCCCTATATCTCCTATGATTGGTTGAACCCAGATCAGAATAACCCAAAATTTGAGCTATTGGATTCAGAATACTGAAGTTAGATTCATAAGAATGCTTCTGGCTGCCCTTACATCTGTTCTGGTCTTCTACTATTCAGATCTGAAATTGCTTGGAGAGATGCAAAATATGCTCAAATATATGAGTACCTTCGTGAGGAGTATGAGGTTGCACAGCGGTTTGGAAATCTAGATTTCAAACTGAAATTCGTGGAGGTATATCTACTTTCATATCACTTAAGGAATGCATATTTCTTTTTTGCTTTCTTGAATTTTAAAGAGCCATGTATATTATCTTCAAATTGTTGCATGTGGTTGAGATGAAAAAGTGTATAGTTTTGTGTATTTACTAGAGGGATGTGATGCAGGGACGGAAACTTGAACTTCTTAAAAGCATATAATGAGTTCACATCCTTTAAAAGAATAAAACGCTTCCTTAGAAAAGAGTAAATATATAAGTTGGATATCTATGATATACCAATCACGTCTAGTCAAAGTGATTTGAAGTTCGGTATATGTCATACGGGGAATTATGTCTACTTTCCGTCAAAATTTGTATGTTTATGTTGAGTGTAATATTAGATTAAGTAGAAGTGATGACGACAATTATTTGCAATGGCATCTTTGTATGCTTTTGTTAATTATTATTTAGAACTCTTCATATTGACTTGCACCTTCTTGTCTACATTGACTTGCACCTTCATATTGCAGCACAATATTCATTTCCTCCAAGAAGCTATCCAAAACAGAAGATCAGATCTTTTAGAATGGTGCATTATTTTCCTTTTGACTCTTGAGAATGTGATCTCAGTATATGAGATTGTTCGCGATTCAGCTGGTGCTTCATTGTAATTCAACAAGGGAATTAGAAAATTTTGGATGACTTAATGAAGTGATTATAGCAAATTCAATTAATTTATAGAGCAAATCAATTTCTCATTATGTATTTGTAATGAGACAGTGACTATATCAGAATGAATTTTTTATAGAGCAAACGGATTATTCATTATGATTGTAATAATTCACCCATAGCTGGATATTACTCTTAATGGATTTTGGTTTTGTTTTGATGAACTTGGTTTTATGAACAGAAGAATCATTTTATATAAACTTAAGAAAACCATTAGTTGTTTAAGGGATTGCACATTGAGAGAAGAAGACTTATCTTCATCAACTTGAAGGTTGAAGCAACCCTTCTTTTTCCTGACGATTCAACGTTTCTCTCAGAATGCGGTAGTCATTTGGTCTCCATAACCAAAGATTTCATTTTAATTTTGATAGTAATTTGGACATCTCTCGATCGTCTTTATTGATTATACAAAGCTGAGAGCTGCTCGTATTTCTCCATTTCGTTCATAACTATTGCTTGCATTATCGAACAGCTTGATACACAGAGGGTTTTGAGGTGAACCAGGCTTTTGACACTGCTGGGGAGAAGGGATTTTTCAATTTAAATAGCAATCGTATATACCTCTATACTTGAGATTTAGAATCTTAGATGATAGTAATTTTCAAAGTAGTTATTTTGAAAACTACTAACTATTTATCCACGTCGCTTGATAACACTCCGTATTTCACGATGAAAAAGTTTCTCCTTTATATCAAGCCTTTTTTTTTTTTTTTNACCGATGGATTAGTCGAATGTATAGTGTTCACAAACATAATCGAACGAACAACTCCTGTTCGAACTCGATCGAACATATTATCGAACGAATATCGAACTGTTCGCGAACATTATCGAACAGTAATCGAACGTACAGTGTTCGCGAACATAATCGAACGAATAATCCTTGTTCGAACTCGATCGAACATATTATCGAACGAATATCGAACTGTTCGGGAACATTATCGAACAGTAATCGAACGAACAACGAACGTTCGCGAACTGTTCAGTTCGTTTGCAGCCCTAGGCATATCTAAAGGTGTTATGTTATGATGAATTGGATTCTTCGATATTCTTCTTCTCTCATTCTCTTGCCATTTTCTTTATTCTCTCTTCTTCCCTTCTCTCATTCTTTTTCCATATCCTAAATTCGAGAAATTAAAACACAACAAAGAAGCAGGTGAGGAGCGACTTCTCTCAGTTATATGTGGGCTTAAATCAGCAGTGGATTGTGGGTGGTGGCTTCAATACCCACTGTTCAAATCAAGGGTGGGTGGCTTCGATACCAATTGAATTAGTAGTGGTATTGTAGGTGGTGGCTTCAACATACACAAATTCAAGTTCAAATCATCAACTTTCTTTAAAACAATGTGCTATAGATATTAATTTTATGGTGGAAGTTTTATTGAAGAATTTGATTTTGTGTTTTATTGTGTTGAATTTGTGTAATGAAGAAATTGATTTTTTTTTTTTTATATTGTATTGAATTTGTGTCTGAATTTATTGATTTTGTGCTTGTACTGTGTTGATTATGTCAATAAGAGATTTGTGTTAATTCAGATTGTTTTCATGTCTGAAGATTAGATTTGGGAATTGTTTTGATATTTGAGATTGTGTTTGGGAATTAATTAGCTGGAGATAATTTTTTTTTTTTTTTTTTTTGGTGCTCCACTTTGTACAATTGATTTTGTCAATCTGTTTTTATTTAATTTGAATTGATTTGTTGTTAGATTGGCCAGATTGTGGTTTTCTAGTGCTGTATAGGGCTAAGTTTGTGGCTTGAAGCCTTCCCCACATTAAAGAAAGATCACATAGGCCTATTTGTAGGTTTTCAAACCTATAACCTTTTTCTAGAGGTCTATTTGCGCGTTTGAAAACTTGTAGGGATTTTCATGTCTGAAGTTTCTTTTTGTCCTTCTATTTTTATTGAGCAGGTTTAATAAGGGAAGACCATTTGCAAGATGCTTCTTTTATTTAAATAAAGAGCATTTCATTGATTTCTAAATATAAAAGAATAATTTTTATTTAAATCCAATACGCTTTAAATTTAAAAGAAAAATATGTTTTTTAAAGAAAAAACTTAATAGGAGAGATAAATCATAAATAAATGTATAGAACTGGAATTTATTATTTAAATTAGGATAGAGAGTGAAATTTGACTTTCTAAATGTGAAGAGATACTCACTCTTTATTTTATTTAAAAAATAAAAAGCTGTTGGACTCTTATTTCTATAGATAAACTCTTTATAATAAGATTTTGGTTCATATAAAGAGCATTTTTCATATAATAAGAGCATCTTCATTAATTTTTAAATATAAGGAATATAATTTTTTATTCAAATCCAATAGACTTTTTAAATTTTATGAGAGAGAATATGTTTTTTCAAAAGAAAACTTAATAGGAAAGATAATCATAAATAAAATGTATAGAAACTTGTAATTTATTATTTAAATTAGGATAGAGTGAAATTTAACCCTTAAAATGTGGAAACAACTCGCTCTTTAATATATTTTAAAGAATAAAGAGTCTGTTGAACTCTTGTTTCTATGGATCCACTCTTTATAATAAAGAGTTTAAGTCATATAAGATCATTTTGAGATGCTCTAATAAAGCTATTTAATACTTTTCATTTGTCTGAGTCAATGGCATCTTAACAATAGGGGCTATTTAAGACTTTCTGAAAATAGTAGGGGCTTATAAGACTTTCTGAAATTATGTGTCGCTTAAATATAAATTTACACGGGTGCGAAGAAATTAACCCGTTGAAGATAATGATTAAATTTCATTCAATTTTCTTATATGAGTGTTGTTGATGGAAGAGTGATGGTTGGTTATTTGATATTTATTTTAATATTTTAATAATGATAACTACGGTAAAATTGACATTTGATGGTCAACTCAGCCAAGGCAAATTTGGATGGAAGGAAACTAATGTAGGTATAAAGTTTATAGATTTTTTTAAACTTGGGGTGGCGATATTTGTTTTTTTTTGTCATACCTACTTAAAAATATAATCGACCTCTTTATTATTCATTAAAGGTATAATTGATAAACAAAACCTTCAAATTTTGAGATTAGTCACGAGATTTTACACTTAGATTGTTTTTTAGACAAAATCTTCACATTTGAGAAATTACTATTATTGGGTTGATTATTATTATTATTATTATTATTATTGTCATTATTATTATCATTATTATCATTATCATTATATTCATTATTATTGAATTCATCTAAAAATTTACATATTGCATCTCTAGTTTTCTAAGACCTCAATATCTGTCTATGCATTATTTCGTGTGGGTGAACAAGATGGTCAGATTCTCGTAGAAGATGCCAAATTAAGTACCACAAAAAAAAAAAAAATAATAATTTAAAATATAATAAAAATTCAGCATTTAATTATTTTTTGCTAGCAAAGTGTGCCATGATCTTATCAGAAACATATTTATTTATAAAAAATTACACACTTGCAATCGTGGATGCATCCACACAGTACATCTGTCATGTTTCTTTACACTTGGATTTCTGTTCTATTATTCGGTAAAAAACTGTAATTCTTTTTTTTAATTCGAAAATGAACTATATATATACCCGCACAGTCATTGCCTTTTGTAAGCTGAATAAGAATATGCCCCTGCAATATTTGTATATAGGGTTCTTCATCCTCAACGCCTCTAAGGCTTAATAAAATATCCTTCCTTTTCAGTAATAACATAATCTGTCTTTGTGAATCATTAATGTATATAGAATTTATAATAGAGTTTGTGTTATTTAATTATACCTAGGAGGATTATTGTTGTTGATCTTTTGTGTAATACAATTTTGATTTGATTTGTTTACTGATTTATTAATATTACTCTTCACGCTTATATATTTAACAATAATATTATATACAAACACAATGTTACAAACTGATGTGACATAAAATAAATGAATGAGTGAATATAAAAATCAACTCATCATATTCACTCTTTCATTTTTTTGTGTCACATCAGTTTGTACACAAATCTTTATAAGACTTGTCTGTACATGTAGCATTACTCATAATTTAATCCACTTAGCAGTATCCAAAAGAGCTTATTTAAGACATAAACACTCTTAAAAAAATTTATGTTATTTGATTCATTTCAAAGCATTTATATGTTTTGAAATAGTTTATTTATGATTTATAGGAAGAGTTCAAAATTTGAATTTCTTCCACTCTTCATGAGCTTATTTAAAGCGTTGAAATTTGAAAGTATCTTTATTACATTTAATAATTTGACTTCATTATTTGTATAACAAACTCTTTTGGTATTATACTAAAAAACTCTTATATTTTTCTAACTAAACTACTAACTACTTTCTCAATAAACCATATTTTCATAAGCTCTCACTCCTAAACTCTTCTTCTTTAACTCATTCAAATGGAACCTTATTTTTCTCATATTATTATTTTCCTTAAAAAAAAATAATAAAAAGAGGATTTACAGGAAATTAATGTTTTGCATGCTGCTGAAAACGGCACTCGTTTCGATTCTTCTAAATATTACCTGCTATGCATTTAGTAATCTGAATAGACCTACAATTTTTGCTCTTCCAATGCACAACCATCAAGATTCAAGAGCTTTCCAGTTTCTACCAGAGATGAGATTTTTCTTCTTCATTCAAGCAACCATTCGGTGTTTCTCTCTCTCGATCTCTATATAAACTCCCCAAGAGAATTCTCTTCTTCAAAATAAACTGCAGCCATGGCTTCTCAACCTCACCACCTCAACCTCATCATCATCTTGTTCACCTTGATTTTGTATTTAAATTTGCATATTCTCGCCCACTTAAATCAACCTTACAGAAGAAAATGAATCGGAAAAGATGGTGAATAATAACTTCAATTTGAATAACAACAGCAAAACACAAGAAGCAAGGCGAAGAAGAGGACCTTAAAGATATAAAGACTTGCCGTCGTTTCCTCTTCCTACACAATCCCATTTTTACCTCCGTTGCCAACTTGCCTTTGCCGCCTCCATTGCCAAATTTCCATTTCCACCGCCACTGCCTCAGTTTCCATTTCCTCCCAACCCATTTAACATGCCATTGCCACCGTTTCCTTTTACTTTTCCATTGCCTCCCTTCCCTCAATTCACCTCCTGC